CCGAGGTTTTGTCGCTAATTATTTGTTACCACACCAAAAAATTTTGTTTTACAACCACAAAAATTTCGAGTGAGTAGAAAAGCAAAAACAAAAAGAAGCAAGAAGAAATCTTTTTCTTGCAGTCAAAGCCCAAGAATTTGCTGCGAAAATTAATAATCTTTCTTTATTTTTCACTCTCCACCAGGACGAAAAAGGCGAAACTTTTGGCTCGGTGGGAAGTAAAGAAATTTTGGCCGAATTAGTTAGAGCTGGTTTTCGTCTTCGCAAAAGCCAACTACTTAATTTTCGTCCTCTTCGACAATTAGGAGAAAATTGAGTTACTGTAAAAGTGAGGGACAATATAACCGCCCAAATAAAAGTAATAATAGATTAAAAAGCACAAAATTTCTGCCTAACCATTTACAATTAACAAAAAAGGGCTAATAATTTGCTGAAAATCACATATTAGGCCGTTGCTTTTATTCTCTAAAAAATGCATTTTTAATAAATTACTGTTAGAGGCGGAGAAATTTTTATTAATTCTTTTTTACTTGCTTAGCCGTTTTGGAAGGATTAAATTGTAAAACAAAAAAATTCTCCGAAATTAATAAGCACCAAACTTTTCGCCCAATTAAGTAACTTTCTCAAAGCAATCATTTTATTAATTTTTTGCGGGATTGGTGCTAAAAGGTAAAAGCAATTTTTTCTTTATAAAAGAAAAGATGAAAAATAAAAATCAAAACCTAGATGAATCTAGGTCAAAAAAAAAAGTTATGCCAGAAACAATGCCACAAAAACTTTTAATTGTCGAGAGAAAAAAAAAAATTAGGCAAATGAGTTAAAACTTCTGCTCTACCCTTAACAGCATGAAAAGAAAGTCAGAAGAGAAGTATTCTCACTTACTAAAACCAAGGCGGCACATTAATGAGGAGGAGATTTTCAAATGTCAAGATTGTTTTGGTCCCAAAAAGGCTCCAAGGCAAATAAATTGAGAAAAAGGGCTAAAGCCAAGGAATTAAAAAAAGTTTCACAAAAGGTACAAGAATTAAGTAATAAAGTT